GGAGGAGGAGGAGGAGGAGGAGGAGGAGGAGGAGAAGGAGGAGCAGGAGCCGGAGGAGGAGCAGGAGGACGAGGAGGAGGAGGAGGAGGAGGACGAGGAGGAGGAGGAGGAGGCGGACGAGGAGGAAGCAACGTGCCAAGAGGCACGGTGTCGGATTATGATCGGGGGGAACGTCGGGGGATGCCCCGGGCTGTGTGGTGGAGCTGGTGTGGTTGTCAGCTGGCGCTTGGCGGCAGCGTTGGCCTCCCACGGTCGACAGTGGGTGGATGGAATAAGACATAGCGTCATCCGTGGATCGGGCGATTGGTACTGGGACTTGCAGTTGCCGGCGATGGCCAAGCACATCGAACCACGTACAGAAGTGATTTACGACAAGTCTTTCCACACATGGGGACCCTATGACGAGCCTTGTCTCAGTGGTGCAAAACCTTCACAATATGCGGAAATCTCTTGCTATACAACTGCAGCATGCAAGTGTGCATTTGCAGCTAAACCAATTTCCTTTCATATCAAGGTCAATTTCAACGACTCCATCCAGAAGCTGACGGAGACTGGCTGTTGAAACGGATACATGTGTTTGCGGCCGCCATCACATGCCGAGTTTGTGCGTACAATTGTTATCTTCCCAATGAAATTTGTCGCTGCAAGATGTTCCCGATTGATGCTCGGCCTGTGCGGCGCCGGCGCCGGCTTGCGCCGCCAGCGGCACTGTGTTGTTTAGTCGATGCCTCTTACTGAAAAATCCCCGCCTTCGGCAGGCAGCTGTGTTCGGTTGGGACGTCGCACGCCCAGGGGAACCCCTCGCTTTTGTAAGCGTCTGCCAGGGCCAGGGCTCTCGCAACACGCTTCTGCGCAAGTAAGAGCCATCCCCCCCGCTTGAGCCCCACTGCGCTGGGCCTCTAAGTGCGACCCTTTGCTTGTACGGTTATGACACGGATGTTTGAGTACACGTCTAGTCACCAATCAGCATCACCATCACAGTCGGCATCACCATCCTATTTCTAGTCGGCACCACCATCATCATAACCATCACCGTCGCACTATCGCCCTCACCACCAGAACTGTTGGTGGCCTAGCGTACGTAATCGGTTCGTTTTGCGACGGCCTTGCGAAATTATTCCATTGGATGAATATACATTGTGTTATTATGGTAAATCCGTCGGTCAATACCAAGGAGACCCTCACGACCATTGCCCCCCTGGTCTACGATGCGTACAGGTGCATCAACTACCGACGTCACGCCCAGATCCCCCTGCCGACAGCAGCCCTCTTCGACACAATGACACAATGGGTCCGTGAAAGTGTGCGTAAACACGATCCTTCCACCCGCGTCCTTATCCGACGTTGGATTCCGGGCGCCTCCCATCCGCTCCCGTGGGCGCCATGATACCCTTACCACTTCTAGTCCCACCAACCCTCCGACTTCCCACCCTAACCACCTATCGACCTCCAGCCACCACCGACTTGGCACTCCGACGTCCAGCTTTTAGCAACCGACTCCCCCCCCTCCGCCACCCATCGCCCTCCACCACCCGTCGCACACCGGCCTCCGCCGACCCGCGGCTTTCGACCTCCAGCCTCAATCAGCTCGGCTCCAGCCTCCAGCACCCGACCTGCCACCCCCACCACCCCCAATCGACATGCAGACTTTACCACAGCTCTATTGGCCACACGTCCTAGACAAGCATCAGCCTTCCACGAGGGTTCAACCTCAACGGGCAATGTCGCCAGGACGATCCGACACCAGCTCTGGCGACCTCGACATGGACCAGCACCGACGCCGACTCCTACGCTAGATCGGCCACGCAACTCCGACTCTCCCACCTGCTCGGGCTCCAGCTCCGGCGCCCTCCCGGCGCTACCTCCGGCTCCGACCCCGGCCTCGGCTCCAGCTCCAGGCCCCGCAGGTCTTCTCCGGCTCCCGGCGTCCCCTAGAATCCGACAAAGGCGTCTGTACATCACCGCCGTGCAAGGCCAGGGCCATTCTGGGCCCTAGGATGGTGTATGGACCCTCCTGGCCTCGGCCAGGAGGGCGTATACACCATGCCAGGGCCAGGATGGCCCTGGCTTGGCAAGGTGGTGGTGCATAGAGGCCTCTTGCGGATAGAATCACCCCCACCCGCGGCCGCCGCGTGGCCACCCTTGGCCGCCCGTGGCCGCCCCGCGACCGCCCCGTGGCCGCCCCGTGGCCGCCCCGTGGCCGCCCCGTGCTCGAGCGCCGAGTAGCTTTGGGGGCCGTCGCCCCGTGGCCGCCACGTGGCCGCCACGTGACCGCCACGTGGCCGCCACGTGGCCGCCCCGTGGCCGCCCCGTGGCCGCCCCGTGGCCGCCCTTGGCGGCCCCGCGGCCGCCCCGCGTAGCTTCTTGCATCACATGTGCTGCGTTTTGAGTCGGGCGTCTCCCTCTGCAGGAGGGATACTCAAACATAGTTAACAAAAATACTCTGGGGACTATCTGTTGCGACTGTGTGCGCATCTGGGCATGTGTTTGGCTAGTTTTGATTTTTCGTCCAAAAAATCCGCCTGCAAGGGGACATGCCCGACCTGAATGTTGCACTGCGTAGCTTTCACCGCACAGCGAGCACCACGCAGACTGCGCCACGGAGCTAGCACCACGCAGCTTCCACTGTACAGCCTGCACCTCCTAGCTCGCACCACATCCCTTGCACCACGCGGCTTGCTTGCATCACCTGGTTGGCCCCACGTAGCTTACACCACAAAACTCGCACCACATAGCTTACACATCCACAGTGCAACAACTTACGCCTTACCACGGGATTGGCAGGATTTCGGGAAACTTTCACGGTGCCGCCCGTGCCCGCCTCTTGGCCGCCTCGTGCGTTGGGTGTGTCCGGCCGGGTTTCGCAACGTCGCCGCTCGACATAGTTTACACCACAGAGTTTGCACCATGCACATCCACAACGCAACAATTTGCGTCATGTGAAGGGGTTGGTTGGGTGTGTCAAGGGGTTGCCATGGGGCCGCCCGTGGACGCCTCGTGGCCGTCCCGTGCGCTTGGTGTACCAGGCGAGGTTTCTCGCGTTGCCGCCCGTTGCCGCTTCGCTGCCGCCTCTGGAGAGCACCGCTGTTCAGCATAGCTTTTACCACACATATTGCACCATGATGTGCTGTTTGGGGTCCACGCTGGCGAACACATCGTCAGCTTACGCCAGTATAGGAAACCCAAACAGCTACGCTGCACAAGAAGCCACACGGTGAGTCGACACCGAACTGCGCGTGCACGTCACGGCACGCGGGCATGGCACGGCACGCTAGCACGGCACGGCCCGGGGGGGCACGGAACGAGCACGGCAAGGCACGCCGCGGCACACGGGCGGCACCTCTCTTTGCTTCCTGCAAGCTGGGCACGTCAAGGATAGAAGAACCACCCCGACCCCGACAATTCGCGTTTCCTAAACGGCCCTGGGCGTTTACTAAACAGCCCTGCCCTGTTCGATTCATTCCATGGGTGCGTTTACGAAACGGCGTTGCTTGACGGGGTGCTTCTTATGGGGGTGGATTTCCTGCTGGAGGAAAAAACCACCTGGAACGGACAATTGGTGTTTACTAAACGGCCCTGGGCGTTTACTAAAAAGCCCTGCCCTGTTCGATTACTTCTTTGGGCGCGTTTGGTGTATGCTATTTGGGGCAAGCTATGGGGTGCAAGCTATGTTGTGCAGGCTGCGTGGTGAAAACTGTGTTGTGCAAGTTCTGTACAGGTGGAAACGAGAAGACCCCGAGCTTACGAGGAGCGCCAGAGATTGCCAGAGAAGTTTCGGTCGACGCACACTGTTCACCTACACTGGTCCTGGTCAGGCCGATCCTGGGACCGGGATCGGTGTGTGCGTGTGTGTGTGTGTGTGTGTGTGTGTGTGTGTGTGTGTGTGTGTGTGTGTGTGTGTGTGTGTGTGTGTGTGTGTCCGTCTTCATGGGCCAGCCGGGTGGGCGTATACGCTGACCTTTGGCCCAGGACGGGCTTGGCCAGGATCGGTGTCGGTGCATACCCAGAAACCCGGCGATGTGTGTTGTTTCCCAGCGCTCCTGCGTTGGGTTCTCGTTTTGAATCGAGAGTTGCTCTCTTCAACCTCCTTTCCTTTCCCCTCCCCATTTTCCTCCTCCTCCTCCTCCTCCTCTTGCTCCTTGCTTTCCTTCTCCAACCTCCTACCTCCTACTGGAGGGCTGCCGCGTCTCCTTGTTGGGCTGCCACCTGCCCCACCGTCGCCATGCCTGTGGCCTCCAGGGAGGTCCTGCGGAGTGGGTGCCTACGCACATGCAGACTCGACCACGCGTGTCTCTGGCGTCCAGTCGCATGTGCAGCTGTCGCCACCTTCGTGGGCTCCTGCGGGGCCCGGAGGAGTGGCGGCCTACGCGCACGCGGACTAGACCTCGCGGCTCCCTGGGTGTTTGCCAATTGTGCAACATGCCGCCACTCTCGTGAGCTCTTGGGCGGTCCAGCGGAGTGGTGACCGATGCACATCCAAACTGGGCCTCGCGGCTCCCTGGGTGGCTGCCGATTGTGCAACGTGCCGCCACTTTCGTGGGCTCTTGGGAGGTCCAGCGGAGCGGTGCCCTACGCACACCCAAACTACTACACCTCTCGGCGCCCTCGGTGGCTGCCGCTTGTGCAGTGTGCCGCCCCTTGTCGTGAGCTCCTGGGAGGCCCAGCGGAGTGATGCCACGCACACACACACACATCCAGTCGAGGCCTCGCAGCGCCCTCGGTGTGCCGCCGCCCGCGCCACTGCTTCCTCCTGCGCCGGGCGGCCCTACTGAGAGCCGCCTCGCGTCTGGGAAAGAGTTGGGCGCGCCTCGGGTAGCTCTTCCGTGCGCGCCCCCCGAGCAAGGCCCCGAGGATTGCGCTGGCCAGCCGAGCTCGAGGCAGCGCACCGCCGGTGCCCACGTCGGACCGCCGGCAGTGCTGGCGCACCTCCCCGAGAGCGCAGACGCGGAGAGCCTCGAGCCCAGAGCCTCCCTCGACCTGCCGCCGCGCCCCCGCTGCAGGCCCTCAGATGGCACGTGGCCCGGGCGCCCGAGGGGGGGGCAGCCCCTGGGACAGCGACCTCGTCGCCGGCGTCGCCTTCCACCCGAGGAGCCGCCCGTGCCACCTCCGGCCGACGCCGCCGCCGGTGCCCTCGTCGTCGCTGCCGCCGTTCCCGTCGTCGTCGCCAGCGTCGTCTTCGCCTCCGTGGTCGTCGTTGGCGTCACCGGCGCCCCTGCCGCCGTCGTCGCGTTTGTCGCCGACGCCGCCGTCGTCGTTGTGGCCATCGTCGTCGTCGTCGTCGGCGGTGCCGTCGCCGTCTGCGGCTCCGTCGTTGCTGTAGTCGTCGCCTTGGTCGTTGTCGCCGATTCCGTCGCCGTCGTCGTTGTCCATGCCGCCGGCGTCGTCGTCGTCGTCGTTCGAGGTTCGAGGGTCGGAGAGAGAAAGGTGACGAGGCAGGAGGCGGGAGGGAAGAGTTCGAGGGGATGGAGGCGTCCCCTCTTGACCCTCCTCATCATCCTCCGCCTCTACCCCCTCCTCCTCTCCTCTTCTTCCTCCTCCTCCTCATCCACCTCCTGGCCCTGTCGCCTTTCCGACGACCAAGTTGGCGACGAAGCGGACGAGAACAACGGCGGCGGCGGCGAAAGCGACGTTTTGCCTCCGCGAGGAGGTGCGAGCCGCGGTCCAACGAGGACGGCATTCGAGGTGGGGATCCCAGCGGCGGCTGGACCGTTCGTCAGCGTCGTTCTCGTTGACGTGGTCGCGCTTTTTGGTGTCGTCCGTCTCTCTCCCTCATCCTCTGTCCCCCCCCCTCCTCTCATCTTCCTTTTTCCCACTCTTGCCCCTTCCGCAAACTGTAACTTGCTTCGAGCAGCTTCGGCTGACATCGGCATGCAGGTGCGATTGGCATTTGATGCGTGTTGTGCTATTTGCGCTCCTTCTCCTAGTTCTCCGTGGCAATTTAGGCTCAAGACTATGATGTCCCCGCGGAGTAGAGTTGAGACATCTGGTCCGAGGCGGGCGAGGCAGGTCTGCCTGGCGGTGATTGTCGGCCTCCGCTGTGGGATCTAGGCTCCTACATCTGCCCCTCTCCCTTCTCCCACTCTCAGAGCATCGTCGCTGGGAATTTCCACATCCTGTAGGTGCGACTGCGATGCCTGGAGATGCCCGCTTGAGCAGGCAGGAGAAGCAAGACAACGGAATAGTTCAGAAGGGCTCCGAGGGCGATCTGGACACCCCATCGAAGAGATCGAGGCGCACGGCGGTGTCCCCGATCAAGGCCCTTCCGACGTCTCCTGCTGAGTCGCCCATCTCCTGTTGAGTCGCCTCTGCCAGAGCTGGGAGACGGGGGCGGGCCGCGCAACGGCGTGACCAGGAACGGGCTGCCGCAGCCGCTGCTGCTGCCCCCGTCGGACAGCATCGCTCTCGGAGCGGACCACGCAGTCCTGGGTACGATGATGCACTCCTCCAGGCCCTGGCGTGCGCCGCCACGTCTCCACCGCAGGAGCTCGCGCATGCTGGACCCGTCCATCACCACTGGTTGACCCAAAAGGGGGTCCAGCCACAAGGGGGTGGTGCAATAGATTTGGTGCAATAGATTTGTGGGGTTGCAAGACATTTGGGGCGTGCAGTGCGTTCCGGGGCGCAAATGTATTGCTGGACGTTCGCGTGCAATACATTACTTGCAATACAATGTAATACAATTCCCTGGCGCAGTACATTTGCAATACACTTGTCCCGCATCTATTGCACCACCCCCTTTCAGCTGGACCCCCTCTTGGGCCACCCAACACCGCGTCGCTGGCCAGCTGGCGAGGGGGCGAAGCGCAGGTCCACCTCTGCGGAGGTGGGAGGGATGCCGGCCTGCTGCTCCCGGCACGGCGCGGCGCCCGCCGAGGCGCCGAGGCGGCCTGGCGCCCCGAGCCGGCGTCGGCGGAGCCAGCGGAGTGGCTGCTCGCAGCCAGGGCATGGAGCGGTGATCGACCTGATCACTTAACTGACCCAGGCGCTCGCCGAGCTACACGATAGACGGCATCAAGATCCGCAGATTTTGTCGTAACGCTCCTCCTTCTCCTCCTCCTCCTCCTCCTCCTCCTCCTCCTCCTCCTCCTGGGCCGCTCTCTCTCTCGCTCTCTCTCTCTCTCTCTCTCCCCGTGCGCTTGCGATGCTCGTGGACAGAAGCGTAGCGACGCACGCTGGCCATGGCATGCTCGCCAACATGGAGAACAGGCGGGGCGCCTCGGCAGAGCGCCAGCGGCTTGGTCGGCCAGATGCCGGCAGGCCGAGCAGGGTCCTTGCGGGGTGTTCTGTACCCGCTCCTTCGCACGAGCTGGTGAGGGAGAGGCGGAGAACGTGGTGCCGCGCCTCACAGTGCCAGGGGGCACGGTGTCGGGCAAGGAGGAGGAGGAGGAGGAGGAGGAGGAGCAGGAGGAGGAGGAGGAAGAGGAGGAGGAGCACGAGGAGGAGGAGGTGGATGAGGTCAATCAGAGGCAGCGCCCTTGGGGGGGACTCTACCCTCTCCCCTCGGACAGCCTCTGGGGACCACCAGCAACCTTTCGGAGCCCCATGTCGAACGCCTCTGGGTGATGTCTGACACTTTTTTGGTCTGCGGGTCGAGAGCGAGCCTCTTCCGGTTAAGAGCTAGGCGGGCCGCTCAAAGCACTAATTGGGGAGACAGAGCGCAGGCGGGCGGGGCCTCAGGCGGCCGGAGGGCGCGGGGTGCAGGCGGTGCTGAGGAGCTTGCACAGGAAAAGGTACACCTTGGACAGGAGCCGGAGGCGAAGTCCTGGAGGGTGAGCGGTGTGGTGTTGCCGTCGACGGCGCATCGAAAACACCATCCTCAAGTGCTGCGTGCGGAAGGTGATGTCTGACACACGCCTGCTCCTCCTAGTGCCTCCTCCCCCCTCTTCCTGCTCCCTCCCCCTCTTTCATTTCTGCTTATGGTCTCTCCCTCCCTCCCTGCTCCCTAAGAAGGCCCGCTGGGGTTAGCTCAGACTGCTACATGTCCGCAACCCCATGCTTGCCACCTCCCCGCCTTCCTGTCCGCCTCTTCCTTCATCATCATCCTTTTGCTCCTTCTCGCCAGTTCTCCTAGACTGTTTTTGTGCTGTTCTTGCATGGCCCCGGGCCTCTCGAGCATTTCCCGCGGGCCGGTTTTTCATCCCAGACCGACGACTGAAAGCTGAGGGGCCCGGAACAAGCCTTGTGTGACCGAGCATGACTGAACTTACGTCAGCATTTGGAACATCACGACGTCGGAGGTCCCTGTTTTTGGAGGAGGTCTCTGGAGGGTCCGAGGCTCAGGTCCCGGGCAGCTCGCGGAGGCCGCTGTAGGTCTCAGGATGCTCTGGAGGCCTCCCAGATGGGGTCCGAGCAAATGTGGTCGGAGGATTGAGCCGCATCGCCGATGAAACAGACGTCCATCAGGAGGAGAAAAAACACACAGACAGAATTCATCGTCGATTTCCTAGAAAGTAGAGGTAGATATGGGAAGTGGGGGGGACGACGAAGTCCAGATAATAATGAGAACAACAATTAGAGCATCCTTGGATTTGTGTGTCTTTCTTCGTGTGTCCTTGGGCCCCTCGAGTCCAGCGGCGACGCCAGGAGGGAGAACACCCTGCTCCCGACGGCGCCGCCTCGGCGATGCGGCGCGACCCGCCGACCCGTTCGGCTCCGGCCGCCCGGACGGCCAGAGTGCGGAGGCCCCCCAAAGGGTGTGGTGACCAACGCCGCGTGGCGGGCGAGTCGGTGGGGATGCGGGGCCTCCGCACGGTCTCTTGCGACTGGGGCTCGGGTCGCTCTCCGAGGACTTCTCGGGCGACTGGAGTGAAGTCGGGCACGTCCCTCTACGGGAGGAATATTCAAAAAGATGTTAAAATAGCCAGGGGACGATTTTTTGAGCATCGTTGGATCATTGTGGGGCATGTTTCTGGTCTTTTTTTTTTGTTGCTCAAAATCCGCCTGCAGGGGGACATGCCCGACCTAAGACTTGAGCCTCCAGGGGTCCTCAGACCGTGCTGTGACGGACCGTGCGCTGTGGATTCCGAGTTCACCGCACGGTCTATGACCACGTCGGTATGGACCCCCACACACGCACATACACACACCAAAAGAATCATTGCTTTGGGACCCCCAGGGCAGCAGGCAGGCCGACGTCCAACCGCCGCAGTCCTCCTCGTCGCCTCTTCCGCCCCAGGATCGACGCCGACATTGCCGCCGCCGACGGCGTGAGGCTCGCATACCGGCTGTACGTGGCGCCCCGGTCGTCGCACGACGAGCCCGACGAGTCCTCGACCTCAAGTGCCGCGATCGAGGGTCGAGGCGCCAGGACTTACAAGCGCCCGTCGGTCCTGCGACGCTCGGTCGGTAACCGTGGTGCTCATGTGTGTTCGGCGGCTGCGGGCCCCCCGCCTGTGCCTCGGGTCGTCGTCGCCGCCGCCGCTGCCGCCGCCCGCCGCCGCCGCCGTCGTTTTCGTCGTTGGTCGCCATGGGACGCTCACGGCCCGCCTGTGGATCTCCAGGGGCCGCGGCCGGATCCGCCCCGAGTTCTTGGCCAGGGTGGGCTCCGAGGCGGGTCCGCGTGGCACCCCATACGGGACCCAAACAAATACACCACCACCACCTCCCTCACCCCGTCCCTCTCCCAGGAAAGAGGACAGGAATGGGAGGGTAGAGGAGGGAGGAGGGCGGAGCGCGGAACTCAGCGTGGGGGACCATTCACGCCAAGCGGCGAAGTCGGAGAGAGTGACCGGGCTGGCGCGTTTAGGCGTCGGTGGAGGCCGCCGAGGTAATCGGCCAGCGCGGAGATCGTCGGCCTCGGCGGCGGCGGCGGGCGCTGCGGCGTCCTCGGCTTCGCCCTCGTCGGCGACCTCGTCAGCGACGGCGGCGTTCTCGTCGTCACCTCGTCATCGCCGTCGTCGGCGGCGTGATGCTCCACCAAACGCGGAGGTCCTTGTGCGTGCTGGTTTATTTCCACGCCAACGCCGAGCTGTGTACGGACGCCGCACTTGCCGCTGTGCCCCTCCTCTTCTTGCTCGTGTTCTGTCCACTTGATCTTCTCGGCCTCCCAACGTCTCCCCCGTCTTCCCTCTACACGCCTGCTCGCGTCCTGTCCATCCTCCGTCCCCATTCCCCCCTGGCTCTCCCCCCTTGTCCTCCTTGCTCCTCCCTCGTCCTCCCTCCTCGTTCTCTCCCCTCGTCCTCCTTACTCCTCCCTCGCCCCCTTCGTTCCCCCCCCCTCGTTTTCCCCCCGCGTCCTCCTTGCTCCCCCCCTTCGCCCCCCCTTTCCCCCCCCCACCCACCCGTTCTCCCCCGTCGTCCTCCTTGCCCCCTGCCCCTCCCCCCTCCCCCCCGCTCCTCCTCCTCCTCCTCCTCTCCTCCTCCTCCTCCCCTCCCTCCTCCTCCTCCTCCTCCTCCTCCTCCCCGAAGTTCCTCCGTGCTGCGTGTCGTCACCCCATCCCACCCCCGTTGTCCTCCTCCCCCCCCCCCTCTCCGTCCCTCAGCTCGTCCTCCCGCTCTGCTCCTCCCCCTCTCCTCCTTCCCTCCATCCTGTTCCACCCCATGCTCCCTCGTGTCCCACCCCATTAGAGTTCCCTCCCCCCCCTCCGTCTCCCCGCTCATTTTCCCGCATCTCCTCCTCCCGTTCCTCCAGCCCTCCCTTCCTGCCCCACCTCGGTCCTCCCCTCTCCTGCCCCATGTCCCTCCTCCGCCGCCCTCGCTCCTCCCGCATGGCGACCCCCTCCTCCCGACGTGCCTGCGTCCTGCAGGTGTCCACCCGCACCCCGTCCTTCTTCTGCCCTTTCCCTCCGTGTCCACCCGCATCCCCTCCTTGGCCTGCCCCTGCCCTCGCTCCAAGGAGGGGGGGGGATGGGGGGGGGGGGAAGCAGGGAAGCGGGAGGGGCTGGGAGGATGGAGCGCGAGGAGGCAGGAGGCAGCAGGAGGCAGGAGGCAGCAGGGAGGCAGTTGAGGGGGGACAGGAAGCAGGGAGGCAGCAGGGGGGACAGCGAGGAGCCAGGAGGAAGCAGGGTTGAGGAAGGGGGGGCGGGAGCGACCCGGGGTAGCCCGGACACGACGAATCAGATGCACATGGTTTCGCGAGATGGTGCTGTGTCGCCGGACGACTCGGAGGTTCCATCGACAGCCTTTCATCGGGGGTTTTCTCGAGGTGGTGCTGGGGAGCGGTCCCAGCTGGATGCTCCCGTTTAACGCGTTTCCTTCTTCCAGGGGCCGTTCGGACTGATTTTCCCTCCAACTCCTCCTTTGCCCTTTGCCTCTACCCTACCTGTGTGCCCCCTCGATTTTACAGCCTTGGGACATGGATTGCTTGACCCGTTACATCTGCCGACGCCTCACGCACTCCATCAGCACCCCTCTGCCACCGGACCACCGCTCTCAACACGCCACAACCATTGGATGAGCGCCCGCACGAGAGGTTGTGTCGCAACACTCCATGTAAAATGCATCATGGCTCCATATCTGCCAAGTCTGCCAGGAGGCGGGAGAGTGCGGAGGAGGTGGAAAAGGAAAAGGTGGAGGAACGGGGAGGAGGGGTGTACATGACCTTGTGATTCCTGGTCTCCGCCCTCTGCCCCCCCCCGTGTCGCCGCGGCGCCCATGTAAATTCGAAGGCCAAGATGGCCATGCAAAGTGCCAGGCTGAGGCACTTCGCTATGACCCATGTAGAGTTCGAGGCCGCGGTGCTCGTGTAGATTCCAAGATTGAGGGACCCATGTAAGTCCTTTTGCCAGCGTGCCCCAAGAAGCCTGCAATACAGTCCCGCGGCAGCTTGAGGATCGAAGAGGGCGCGATTGGACTCTGAGTGTCCGTCGGCTAGAACTTCGGCGCGCGCGATGGTTCTAGCGTGTGTGTATGTATACAGACGTGTGCGTATCAGTTACCTGTGTTGTGGATTGTCTCTCTCTCTCTCTCACTCTTTCTCCCCCTATCGCTTGCGTTTTTGTTTGGCATCTCTGTCTCTCTCTCTCTCTCTCCCCCCATGTAGCATATACCTGTAACTTGTCCAGCATGGACCACAAACTGTGCGTTTCGATATATCTACGGTGTGCTATATGTATATTAATGTATGTTGATGTACCAATGTGTTGCCATACAACTGTTCGCGACACGGTTGCGCAATCCGTGTTATGTAACCTTTATCGTCCAATCTATGCGGTGCAGTCTACGTTGTGAGGTCTCCGTGGCGTTATATATGTACGACAGTTTATGTGGAACAGCCGATGCCATTCCATCCACATTGGGCTTCTGAGTGGTAAAACCTAGGTGGTACAATCCAGGTTGTGCAACCTATGTTGTGCAATCTACGGTGGGCAATCTATGTGGTGCGATGTACGCAGTGCAATCTAAGGTGAGCAACCTATAAGGTGCAACCAACGCGGTGCAATTGGCAATCTGGCACCGCGCCTAACCACCTCGATTGTTCGCGCAACCGTCCCACCCACCCAACAGCAACTCGGTTCGCAAAATCCATGTGGTGGCGATTGCGATGAGTGTTTGACGTTGGCTGGTCAAGCACGCGCGCGCCGCGGCCAGCTAGTGTGGCGCGACCGATGCGGCCGCGGTTGCGCTGACCGTTGGGCACATCCCAGCGGGAATGTCAGTGCGAGTCGGCGACTTGGCCGGGCGCGGTATCATGGCAACGTCGACAACGGCAGACACGATGGTGATAGTCGCGATGTTGGTGACCAGATTGACAGCAACGACGGCGCGGCCATTGCGGGCGCCGATGCTGATCACGCCGACGACGAAGACGGCGTCCTCGCGTCGGTGATGGAGGTTTTGGAAAGAGTTCGGCATGCGTGCGCGGCCGACGCGCACAAGTGGCCCGCATGGCGTTCTTTGACACGGATCGTGCCCCCCCCCCCCAGCACGCGCGCAACGGCGTTCGAATGATGCCGGCATGCGACAGAATTCCATGCCCCCCTTGAGAAACCGATGGGGTTTGTAAGAGCTCGCAAGAGCGCGAGCGCACGCTTTTTTGTCAATTCATGTTGCGACTCCATGTGTTGTTGTTATGATGTTTGCTCGGACACTCGGTTTTGACACTGTTACACAAAAGACGGTTTTTGACGGATTTCGGCATGCGCGCGCGACGACGCGGGCGCGCGCACTTCGTCCCATTGCTTGCAAGGGATTCTCGCGACGGCACGCTCGCACTGGCGTTCGAACGATTTCAACATGCGTGCGTGCGAATCCCGCTTGGTGGTCTTGTATGGAGATTTTGAATATATGTGTGTGTACATATATATATATATATATGTATTGCGTAAGGATTTGCGAACGCGCGCGCAACCTTCTTATGAATATGCAAGTTGCGAAACCTCGTGTGCACATATGTGTATGTGTATATATATATGCATGTTTCGGGGGCTCGGTTTTGAAACATGTACGGCATTGAAGGTTTTGGAAAGATTCTGGCCTGCGGCGCGAGGGCCTCGTTTGGCACAATTCCATGAAAATGTTGGAAAACCTATGTTATCGCTAACTCGCAAGAGCGTGAACGCTGGCTTGTTTCCAAACTGACGTTTCGATTTCATGCTTGTGGTTACTATTGTTTCGGGATGCTCGGTTTTGACATCCGTTCGAAACCACAGTTGTTGTTCAGGATTGCGGCCTGCACGCGCGACGTCGCTCGCTTAAGCATCTCGTCCCAATGTGTGCAACGGGTGCTTGCGACAACACGCGCGCCAGGGCTTTCGAACGATTTCGACATGCGCGTGCGAAGTCCGTTTGGTAGCACATTATGTACATGTTGAAAACAATGTTTTTCAAACGTTTGCAAGAACGCCCGCGCAAGTTCTTCTGTTGTTTTTGAAAACCCGTGTTGCGCAACCATTTGTTTGCATTTGTCTGTGTTTGATTAATGATTTTTTTTTTTTTTTTTTTTAAATGGATACGCAACCAAAGGTTTGTGAGCAATTCTGGCATGCGCGCGACGACGCGCGCGTGTGCACTTCGTCCTATTGTTGTCCAAGGGGTTATTGACAACGGATGGCTTTTGATCAACAAGTACGCGCGCATAGTTCGGTATGCAAAAAGTGGCAAGGTGTTTCGCCGGGGGTAGTTTCTAATTCATGTCATGACAGGAACAGTATCAAGAACCTTACATCCAAGTATTGCTTGGGGAACATGGTCTACATTCCTCCATCTGGCCTACATTCCTCCATCTCTCTCTCCCTCTCTCCCTCTCTCTCTCTCCCTAGCTCTGGACATGCGAGGCGCGTTCAGCGAAACGGCTTCCTGACATCACAGAGTTTCCCCTCACAATGTGTGTGTGTGTTGTTGTTGGAGGTTTGCCAAGCGTGCTGGATGGGTTGGGCACTGCGTTGGTAGCTTTTTGCGGCGCATGCTGTCTGGGTTTGACGCTGCCTCCAGAAGGCGGCGGTGTCGTGATAGCGCCCGGCGCGAGGACCTGGAGGTCGACCGGCGGTCGATCCTCAACTGCGGCTTCCACGCCATACTGTGCCCAGAGTTCCGGGGCTTCGCCTGGAGCAGCCGGGGATGGGGAGAAGCAGGAAAATTCGAGGGCGGCCAAGTGGGGGGTGACTAGGGGGGGGATATCATCGCGGGAGCCATGATATCTCCCTAGATTGCATGGCGCCCCTTCTTAGTTCCATACGTCCCTGCCCCCCCCCTGGGCCACGCACGTGACGCCAACCATAATTTGGCTACACCCCCGTCTTGGGCGCCCCCCTCTTGGCCGACACCGAAAGATGAGGACTAGAGATCGACATTGCTCTCTCTCTCTCTCTCTCTTGTCTCTTTGGCCCTCTCAACTCCTGCCGTGCGCAAAGAGGGGTCGTCGGAAGGTGCCAGTGCAGATGGGAGCAGAGAGTAACAGGTGAGCAATCGTTTGAACTATGTGCAGGCTTCGGATTCGTCATCGATGCCGCTGGAATGGGACAGGAGGAACAGAGGAAGCCCAGACTGCATCAGCGATGCACACATCCCACCTTCATGCGTCCTTGCAGGGACTCCTTGCCGCTACTGTGTGCGCCAGGGCCCACACGTGGCCAACATTTTTTCTTGTAAAATCAATGGGTTATCATTGTCGCCGAGGCCTCTTGGAGCGTCTTGGGTGCCTATGGGGGGGCCTCTTGGGGGTCTCTTGGGACCCTCTTGGAGGCCCCTTGGGCGCCTGTTGGGGCCTCATGGTGCCTCGCGGGCGCCCCTTCGTGCCCACTTGAAGCGCTCTTGGGCGCCGTGGGCGCGCTCTTGGAGCCCTCTTGGGCCACATTGGAGCCATCTTGAGGCCTCGGATGGCCATCGGAAGCGAACATGCGAGAAAGCCAAACACATTGATTCCCCCAAGGTTTTGGAATGATTTTGGCATCTTCGGGGCCTCCTGGGGGAGCTCTTTGGTCACTTCGAGCCGTCTTGGAGCGGTCCTGATGCCTCTTGGAGCATCGTAGGAGCCATCTTGAGGCACCTTGGGATTTCTTGAGCCATCTTGGACGTCATATTGGGCTCTCTCATGCGCTCTTGGAGTCATCCTAAGCAGTGCCCCTCCCCAGGGTGCCCATATGCGGCCAACATTTTTCTCTGGTAAAATCAATGAGGTTGTCATTGTCGCCGAGGCCTCTTGGAGCGTATTGGGTGCCTATGGGGGGGCCTCTTGGGTGTCTCTTGGGAGTTGGGGCCTGGCCGCCTCGTGGGGCATCCTTGGGAGCATGGGGAGCGCTTTTGGGGCCATCTCGGAGGAGATCGACGACAGAAGGGGGGTCCCTCAATTTGCGTAGCCCCACCAAGAGGCCAACACGGGGCCGAAACCCTAGTACAACCATTGTTTTTGGCTTCCTCGCCGAGGCCATTTTGGACGCTCCGACGACTCGCGGAACGCCCCGTCCAGGTCCAGGGCAGGGGGCAGGGGGAGGGGTCAAGACTCCCTCCCCGCCCACAAGCCGTCTCGTTCAGTCCCACGCGCCCTCCCAACACGTACGTAGCACCCGAGCTTGGCCCGAACCGCAGCATATTCAGCAGTCGTCTTTGCATGGGCAGCTACTGGGGGCCAATCCGCCGCCGCCGCCTCCGCCGCCGCCGCCGCCGCCCGCCGCCCGCCGCCGCCGCCGCCGCGCCGCCGCCGCCGCCGCCGCAGTCCGCCGCCGCCGCCGCACGCGCCCCAGCCGCCCGCCGCCGCAGCGCCGCTGGCCGATCGCCGCAGCGCTGCCGCCGCAGCCGCACCGCCACCCGCCGCCGCCGCCGCCGAGCCGCCGCCGCCGCCGCCGACGCCCCCGCCGCCGCCGCCGCCGCCGCCGCCGATGCCCCCGCCGCCACCACCGCCGCAGCCGCCGCAGCCGCTGCCCCCGCCGCAGCCGCCGCAGCCGCCGCTGCCGCCGCCAAGTGCATGTTGTATTGTTTTTTGCCAGGGATGGTGGGGGAAGGCCGCATCGGGTTCGCTGCGCATGCTCCGAACTTGGAGGCAGCGTGTGTTTTGCATTTGTTTACGAGGATGGTGGGGGGGCGCAATGGTCCCGGGTTGGCTCCCAGTCGCCTGGGGAGGGGTGGTATACTAATAGGAGGCAGTGATAATTTCCCCCCCCCCCCCCCCCGAAGGGAAAGAAGGGGACGGACGAGGAAACACCCTAAACCAGCTGTGCCCTAAAGGGCTGGTGGGGTTCTCTTCCTCGCTCCTCAACCCTCCTCTTTCTCCTCCTCCTCCTCCTGCTTCTGCTCCTCCTCTTCCTCCTCCTCCTCCTCCTCTTCCTCCTCCTCCTCCTCCTCCTCCTCTTCCCCTTTCCCCTTTCCCCACCCCTCCCCCTCCTCCACCTCTCCTCCTCCTCCTCCTCCCACCTCTTCCGCCTCCTCCTCTACCTCCTCCTCCTCCTCCTCCTCCTCCTCCTCCTCGTCCTCCTCCTCCTCCTCCTTCCTCCTCCTCCTCCCTCCACCTCCTCCTCCTCCTCCTCCTCCTCCCCCCCTCCTCCTCCTCCTCCTCCCTCCTCCCCTCCTCCTCCTCCTCCTCCTCCTCTCCTCCTCCTCTTCCTCCTCACCTCCTCCTCCTCCTCCTCCTCCTCCTCCTCCTCCTCCTCCTACCTCCTCCTCCTCCTCCTCCTCCTCCTCCCCCTCCTCCTCCTCCTCCTCCTCCTCCTCTTCCTCCTCCTCCTCCTCCTTCCTCCTCCTCCTCCTCCTCCTCCTCCTCCTCCTCCTCCTCCTCCTCCTCCTCCCCACCTCCTACCTCCTCCTCCTCCTCCTCCTCCTCCTCCTCCCTCCTCCTCCTCTCCTCCTCCTCCTCCTCCTCCTCCCCTCCTCCTCCTCCTCCCCCCCCCCCCCTCCTCTGCCGCCAACAGGAGCGGGGGGAAGCCGCAGCTCGGGAAGCTCTGCCCCGACGCGGGCGACTTCCTGGGGGCCCTGCCGGGGATCCTGCGCGGGGCGGGGCTGCAGGCCGGGAGCCGCCCAGGGAGGGGGGGCCCTCTCTCAGCACGAGCGGAATGGGTACGGAAAGAATGGGCATGATGCCCAACAGCAGGTCTTGTTCATTTTGAACAGGACTCGCTGTCCGTGCCGCCGCGGCCTGTGTCCATTTGAGACAGAAGGCCGCCTGCCCAACAGCGCCCGCTGTTGGTTTTGGGCAACATTTGTTGTTGGGCATTGTTCCCTTTTTTCCGTGCCCATTTCGGGCGTCCAAACTCTCGTGGAGGGCGGCGGGCTCGGGCTGCGGACGACGATCAGTGGAGACGAGGCATGTTGCCAAAGAGTTCCCAGATGTCTAGAACATGGTTTGAACATGCTTAAAGCATCTCAATGTATGTGTTTGCTTATTCCATGTTTACAGCATTTTCAATCCAATGGTCGGATGGTTAGAGTGTCCATTGCCATGCTATCCACAAGGCTCGGGTGTCGAGGGCCGAGAGCGTCTGTGCGCGTTTGGCTCTTGAGTTCAGTCGGGCATGTCCCCCCGACGGTCAAGTCGTCACGTTTAACGTGCACGGCCCCCCTTGAGGGACAAGAAGTGATTCGATTTCCATGCCCGCGATACGCCGACTCCCCTGGTCAAAACCAGCTTGGAGAACAGTCAAAGCGTGCGTGCACGCTACACGTAGTCCATGTCTCAGAGCGCACCTGCACGCTAAACGTTTTTATGTTGGCGATATGTTTACATTGCCACGTGCACTCCATACGATTACTCTTCGGCTCACCTCTCCACTCCGTCCCCTACTCCCCCCATCCATCCCCGCTTTGCCTTTGGTATCGCGTCGGCTGCCCCTACGCACCTAGGAGGTAGAGGAAGAGGAAGAGGAGGAGGAGGAGGAGGAGGAGGAGGAGGGGAGGAGGAGGAGGAGGAGCAGGAGGAGGAGGGGGGGAGGAGGAGGAGGAGCAGGAGGTAGAGAAGGAGGGTGAGGGTGAGGAGGAGGGGGGAGGAAAGCAGGAGGAGGAGGAGGATCGGGAGAAGGAGAAGGAAGATGAGGCGGAGAAGGAAGAGGAGGATGAGGAGGCGACGGAGGAGGAGGAGGAGGAGGCAGAAGTGGCACGGGCCTGCGGAGGTCGACAGGCCAAGTGTGGTTCCGGGGACTGCTGAGCCAGATCGGCAGTGAAAACATAGGAGCACTCCAAACGTTGATATGCTTGAGACATCCGACGTGCACGCTAAACGCGGCACAACCGCGTATAGAGTGCAGTGATTTTTCGGAAGTGCACTCTATACGACCCCCGAACTGCGCGCACATCAAAGTCACCACGTGCACTCGATCTGTGGCGACTTGACCATACAGGAGGCATGCTCAAAAAGACTTCAAAGATAGTCTGGGGGACGATTGTTTCACATACTTGTTGGCAACTATTTGAATATGTATTAAACATAGTTGCATATTTTGACAAGTGTTCACGCTTCCTCCAAAGCTCGGGCCGAACGAACGGGAGGGATAGGGAAAGGGGGTGTCACGACATCTGCTGCACGCAGCGTGTTCCGGCCCCGCCGCCGGGCCCACTCCTCGACACATGGGCGCCTCCTGGCGCCGGGAGGCGCTTGGAACATCAGCTTTCGTGAGCTGATTCTCTACCCTGCCCTTTGCTGTCCCCCCTGTGATTTGTGGGGGGTCAAGACCCGCTTTCCTTTGTTTCACTGGACTGACATGCTTACCTGCAGCGCCGGCGTTTGCGCCCAAGCAAAAAGAGCGCCTATCCCCCAGAGCAGCTGCAGCGGGAGATTGGCAGCAATAGCAGGGCATCGGTCGATTCGATCGAGTTCTCCGAGCTGAGCCCATCCCGACACGCTGAGGGTGATCGAGGGAGGGAGCACGAGCGAGAACGAGTTTGGTGGCGGGACTAGCCATCCCGACGAGCCATGGCGAGTGGAGATACCTACAACAGCGCGGTGGATCCAAATATACCGGGTCTGAAGGGCGAGACCCTGGAATACTTCACCAGGTACAAGAGGGCAGTGCAGGCGGCTGAGCTTGGATGCGAAACAAAGGAACAGCGCACCGCTTTAGGCCCGAAACTGCATCGGACCCCCCTCGGCGCGGACAACTCGATTAGCGTGCTGATCGAGCGGACGGATCCGAGAGACTACGCTGTCGAGGACGGCGCGAAAGTGCTGCTCAAGTTCCTCGAGACTGAGCGCTTCGCGAAGAGCAGTTTCCGCGAGTTGCCGAAGGCTTTCGACGCGTTCTTCGACTTGACGCACTTCCAGAGGAACGGCGAGGAGCCCATGGCGGCAGTTTGCACAGCCATGGAGGTGGCGAGGCGGAACTGAGAGGAAGTGGACCCGGACATGGAGATCAGTTCGAACGAGCTCGGGTACCACGCGCTGGTTTAAGGACGAGCGCAAGCTGGTGATCGCGAGGGCGGACGAAACTTTCAATGTCATGAAGTTTTCAACGCTGAAGAACCTCTTCCGTCGCGGTTGGGGCAGGCGCCGAGGACGAGGCACGAAGACGGGCTGGAAATGGACGATGCACACGCACGACCCGTGGACTGGACAAGCTAATGACACAGACCCGCACAACGGGGAGTACTGGGTCCCGGACGACGACGGGTACTGGTACAAGTGGGGCGACGATCGAGGAGTCTACACGCGCACAGACGAAAGACGAGGGAGTCGACTGGGACCACAGTCGCCTGTTCTACCTCGAGGACGAAGCTGACGCATTCCTGGCTGGAGAAGACGACGACTATCACCAGACTCTGGTCACGATGCGAGAGAGCCGCCTCAAGATGAACAAACTACGGGCGGCGAGGGGATTCTTCCAGGCAAGGATCGACGGCGTTTTGGACGAGAGCGCGGCACGGGGCGGTCACGCAGTTGGCAAGAATCCCGGGAACGGAAATGGCAAGGGCAAGGACGGCGGCATGCCGAAGGACAAGCGATGCAGCAGGTGCGGCGGGATGGACCAGAACGCATCGGAGCGCCCGGCCAGCGGACCATCGGGGAAGCCAACCAAGGGCAAGGGCCGCGGCAAGGGGTCGTAGTCATCCCCTCTTCCACGACGGCTTGGTTTCTGGGCGATGGGCGCCCTGGCGTGTGCAGCGCCATCCTGGGTTGGCGTCCGACGCCAGATGCGAGGCCCGAACCTTGATTACATCTACACGCAGCCCGAGAAAGATTGTATACGACAGCATGAGTGTGAATCTGGACAGCGATCCGATCGTGCGGGACAGGCCCGAGCTCGAGGTGATGATCCCAAGCGACGTCCTGCTGGCTTCCTTGGTGGACAGCGGGGCCTCGATTGCAGTTGCAGGACGCGGATGGCATGATCGCGTCGAGGCAGAGTTCGCGTACGGTCTCAAGCCCATCAGGGTGGAGGCTCGCCAGAAGTTCAAGGGACTCGGTGGAGCTCGACGCGAGTCGAAGCAGGAGTGGGTCATCCACGTTGGCATCGGCAAGAAGCATGTGCTGCAGGAGTATTTTGAAATCCCTGGCGACATGATCGGCCTGGCGAGCAGTCAGGACGTCGCCGAGTGGAAGACGAACCTCTACATGCGCGAGGACGGCCAGTGGGCGGACTTACAGGAGCTCGGGGTGCATGGCAAGGAGCTGGTGAAGCTACCTGGTGAGCATGCCGGCCTCGACCTCTTCGATTACGACCTCGAGTTGCCCGAGTCGGAGCCCCTCTTCTAGAGGTTCCGCGTGGTCGAGATGCAGCTCGAGCCGGGCGCGTCCCTGGTCGCGGAGACGCTGCAGGAGTTCGGGCCGGGCTTCCAGGTGAAGGAGCAGGCCGAGTCGCGGGTCGCAGAGGCTCTGAAGAACGGTAGCAAGGGCATATCCAAGAAGGGCGCGCACAAACGGACCGACAAGCTGGTGAAGGAATATTCGGTAATCTTCGAAGTACTGCTCGGCATCCAGGAGACCTTCCTGTGGGAGACCTTCCTGTGGGAGCACACCCTTACGCGCTTCGTGGACCCATAGGGAACTCCACCACATGCCTCAGTGGCACAGTTCACATGCGCTCTCCCACTCACGTCGGCACACCCCTCACAAGCCGCGCCCCGCCGCGCCTCGCCGCCGCGCCGCGCGCGTCGAGCATCGAGGAGGACTGAGGGTCGAGGAGGGTCGAGGGTCGAGGAGCATCGAGGGTCGAGGGGGATCGAGGGGGTCGAGGAGGATCGGGAGGGTGGATGAGGATCGAGGGCCGAGGAGGATGGAGGAGGATCGAGGAGGATCGAGGGCCCCTGAGCCCATATATGCCACGCGTCTTCGCCCCATCGGGAGCTCCACCGAACTTCCCAATGTCGCAGTTTTTGCGCGTCCATCCCGTCCATCTCGGCACACGATTCGTACATTTCGTGGCTCCACAGGGGACTCCACTCCAAATCCCAGGGGCGCAGCTCGCGCGCGTCTCCCCCGGCCCATTCCTGCACAACCTTAACACGCTTCGTGGCAAACTGGGGCCTACCCTGATGATGTTCCAACCTACTTTAGCCTTGACCACCAGAAAGAATTTCGAGCGCCAAAAAAAAGCACCGAACCTCCAGGTTTTTCCAAGGGTCGGGCCCTGGGAGACACTCGCCCGACAGTCTTTCGACACTCTTTCGACACTCTTTTGACAGTTTTCCGGGTGCTCGAAATTATCTCTCGGATGTGGCTACTAAGTAGGATGGGAACAACATAAGCCTACCTCAGATCCAAGTGGCAGAGTTCGCATGCGTTTTCCCGCCCATTTCGGCACACACCTTGGGCGTTCTGTGGCCCAGTAGGGAGCTCCACCGAATGACCCGGTGGTGCAGCTCGCATGCGCCCCCCCCCCCCCCCCCGCCCATTTTGGCACATCCCTAACACATTTCGTAGCCCCATAGGGAGCTCCACTCAAGATCCCAGTGGCACAGTTCGCATGCATCTCCCCCGCCCGTTTCAGCACGCTTCTCACATGCTTCGCGGCCAATCGGGAGCTCCACCCAAGGTCCCAGAGGCACAATTCGCATGCGCCCCCCAACCCATGCCGGCACAGCGCTCACACGCGTCTTGGCCCCATTGTCCATAGGGAGTTCCATCGAAGACGAGATTCAGAACTGCGTTACTGACAGCTGCATTTGGATGGGTCCCTCTACAGGATAGTTATTCTGCACGTCCATTTGTAATGCGTGATATCCCTCTTCTTGGCTGCTTTCTTTCTTCTTCGCTTCCTCCTTCTGCTCCGCCCGGAGTTCTCGGCTTCGGACGGTCTTTCAGTGAAGACCAGTTGAGCCTGCACTCACTTGACATTGGTCTGCGAGCCAGCTGCCATCATGCAAGCTGCCGTGCGCACGGGAAGATCGGCTAAGGGATGGCACACTTCGATCTCCGCACGACCCAGTGGAGCAACACCTCAGACCGATCTTCGAGGTTTGAACTTCCACGCATTTCCAGCGCACCCACTTCAGCAGTCCTGGAGAATTGTGCGCGCATCATCGCCGCTCCTCCTCCTCCTCCTCCTCCTCCTCCTCCTCCTCCGTCCTCCTCCTCCTCCGCCTCCTCCTCCTCCTCCTCCCTCCTCCTCCTCCTCCTCCTCCTCCTCCTCCTCCTCCTCCTCCTCCTCCTCCTCCTCTCCCTCATCTCCCTCCTTGCCGTCAGGCGCCGGCGGAGGTCTGGATAATCCAGACATCCAGGCGTCCCAGACGCTTCCGAGACCGCGGCCCCAGATCCTCGATCCTCCTCCCATGTCCCATTCCTCTCTACCCCTCCTCGCCCTGCTCCTCCTCCCCCGCCCGCCCCCTCTGCAGCTCGCTGGCCAACTCCATTTCCAAGTTCACCGTGCGCAGCAGGTTGCCACCTGCGGTGCATGATGAAACTGTTCTCCACCAACACGATCATAAGTTGGAGGGGGAAAGGAGGAGGAGGAGGAGGAGCAGGAGGAGGAGGAGGAGGACTCCCTCCCCCTCCAACTTATGGCGGTGGTGGTGGAAAACAGGCCCATCAGTCTAATGTCCACGCTGGTCTGCACTGTGCCACAGTCCTGTACGGCCTGCCTCCCTCCAGGGCGCCGCTTTGCTTTTTCGGTGCTGTCCGACGGATCCCGCCCTTCTCTCTGTGGCCAGTGTCGCTTCCGCACCCCCTCCCTCGGCCTCGACCGACGATGACGACCACGACGACGACGGTGCTGACTTGGACGACGTCGCTGACGACGATCACCACCGCAACCGCCACGGCCACAGCCACTATGGCCACGATGGCCACGACAACGACTGCGACCCCGGCGATGACCCCACGGCGATGTCCACTGCGACGACGGCGACGACGGCCACGATGACCGCAGTGACCACGGCGACGACCACGGCCACGATGACCACAACGACCACGGCGACGACCACGGCGACGACGACGACGACGACGACGACGACGACGGCGACGGCGAGCCGAACCAGGCGCCGACCATCCGCGTCGCCCTGCACGGCCGCAGCCTCGGCAGCGCCTGCGCCACGCACGTGGCAGCGCAGGCGTCGGCGCGGCGGGCAGGACCGCGGCCCCGCCGCCGCAGAGTGTCGGCCCCTGCGGGGCGGCCTCGGGGGCGCCCTCGCGGCGCGCCCTCGTGGATCCCCCCCCCCGAAGTCCAACGCATTCAAAAACTCAGGACGGCGGTTTTTCGCAAACTTCGGCCCCTGGGGGCCCTCGCCGGGCCTCGGGGCCGTCAAGAAACGACTCAGGATGACGTGGATCCCCCCCAGAAGCCCAACGCATTCAAAAACTCAGGACGGAGGTTTTTCGCTAACTTCGGCCCCTGGGGCCCTCCCAGGGCCTCGGGGCCGTCAAGAAACGACTCGGGATGAAAAGCCGGTCCTGGGGAATGGGTCGAGACTTCCGGGGACCCCGCATTGAAAAAATCACGACGTCGGATCTTGGGGCCTTTGGGCGCCCTCGTGGACCAAGGATCCAGGCTCGAGGATCGAGGCTCCGCGCGGGAGGGCCCAGGTCCTGAGCGCTTTGCGCCCTCTCCCTGTGCCTCAGGGCGGAGCTCCTGGCCACAGCGCGAGCTGAGAGGTGTGGGGGTGTGTGTTACTGCGGGTCACCACCACCCACCCCACCCCAACCCAACCCGAAGGCCCCGATTTGCCCTCCATTTCTGGTGGGGGCGGGCCGGGAACCATTGATGAAAAAGAACAGCTGGAACCCGTCCCCCCCCCAACCCGAAATTCGGGTCTTCGGGTTGGACTGGGGTGGTCTGGTAGGTAGTCAGTGGGGGGGCGATTTGGGAAGGCCCTCAGCGACCGCCGGCGCCCTCTGGCGTTCTTCGGCTCGGTGCCCTCAAGGAGGCCCCCCCCCGGGCGGACCCGGAGGAGGAGGAGGGGGAGGAGGAGGAGGAG